CAGCAGAGCTGGCTGGAGAATTCTGGGAGTTGAAGTCCACAAGTCTTAAAGTTGCCAAGTTTGGGAACCACTGGACTACATGATAATTGTTCCCTATTTTACCCTGCAGTTTTATGGCATTTTCCTTAAAATCACCTATATTAAATTTGCATGTTCTCAAGCTGACCTGTATGTCAATGGTTCATTAGGATGGCTTTGTGTGTTGGAAGCTGTTGGACAAGGGCTACCTCTTAAATATTTTAATTTACCTAGTGTGTCTCAAGAATGATGCTTCAATTATTTTCAAAGGAAATACATCAACAATGCAAACAAACCAGAGGCTCACATCATCATCGAAGCTAACAAATGTTATCACTGCATACAATCTCATACGAATGCATGGAGCTGGCTCTCATTAGATGAATTTATTAGACGCACAAACGTGGTTCTTTGCACTTCTCCAGAATTGTTTTATAAATAGGTATAGGGTTAAATTGGATCCTAATTTTAAAATAGAGCCTTTAATGTCAAGCTCTTATTTGTAAACGAATGGGAACAAGTGAATCTGTGTACTTGTTCAGATAATATGAGGATAGACTAATATGCATAAATAGCCTGAAAGGTTACATCTTAGAAACTGCCTCATGTTAAAATCCTACTGCTTATAAAGCAGTTGCGTAGGCTTTTTCTTTTAAAGTTTAGCCTGCAGTCAAGAGGACTCTTTTGCTCTGTGATTGTTACGATATTTGGGGTAACTCTACGACGTTCAAACACAACATTGATTACAGATATAAAAAATACCCCCTGCTGGATCAGAACCAGAGAGCCAATCTTGCTGGGGGCTCCATGCCGCTGCTTTTTAAAAAAAAATGTCCAAAAAAGAGCAGTATTTTTAATGAAATGTTGTCCCTCTGACTCTGTGCTGTTGGTTCCTGCAGAAAGCCTTTCGGAGTTTTTAAATGTCTTTTTCCAATCTTGGAGCAAAAGAGGATCCCTGGCTCTACTGAACCTGAGGTGGGACAATGCTAAGTGTCAGCCAGTCAGAACAGTGTTTAATCTGTGACTATTTTGTAATCTGCTTTTTTGAGATATAAACACATCCTAGATGATAAAAGTTGCTTACCGCACATACGTGTCCAAAGTCATTAATTCCATGTTGCAGTTTTATCTTATCTTGAAGCTAAGTCCTTGTAATCATAATTGTCTTTCCATAGAAAGAATAGCAGAGGTTGATGAACTAATACAAGTTGAAGAGCCAGAAGGGGACAATGCTGTAATATAAGAAATGCATGTACTATGTTACAGGACTCTTAAGATTTTTACTGGGGACAAGGAGACGGGCATTGCCTGGCTATTAATCACACTGAAACTTTAACTGCCAATTGTAGGCTTTAATTTAAAAACTAACGGCAACAAAGCCAGCCCTGTAAGGGACATGGTCACACAAAACATTGGACCATCTCTGCAGAAATTCTTCTTTGCTTGTTCCCTATTAAAGATAATTAAAGCTGTTAAGGCATGGCACAATATCTTTGACTAGTAAGCTCTGTGGTCAAGAATAATAATCTAATACACATTTAGCAATACACAGCAAAGGTGAGAAAGAAGTCTATAACCAAAGCTATGTACTAAAAGCTGACCCATAACAAGGCAGGAGCCCCTCTCTCCTCTGCCTATAATACTATAGGGTTGTGTGAGCCTAGGCACAAAGGCTGGCTTGCACCAGTTTGCAATAACTAAGTGTTAAATTTTCCGGAATTTTGCAAACCAGATAAGAGGAGAGTAGCGTTGCAATGCCTGATCAGCTGCTTAGTAGCAACTAGCGGCGCCAGTTGTCACACAGTGATGAGCATCTCACTGCCTGAAGGGTACGGAAAAGGATACGGAAGTTGTTCCTATCAACTCTGGACCAAACCAGCTGCCACTTTGTTTGCTGGATGGTACACAAGTGTAAATGTGTGCGTGTGTATCTGTACACACGCACGCACACCCTACATGATGTGCATTGATAATTACAACTTGCCCTTCCTTCCAGCTGTTTGCAAATGAGTCTCTCTGTCAAGAGAATATTCAAAAGGATCAATACGATATTGTCACAACAGGCAACAGTCAAGCTATATTGTCACAACAGGCAAGCTATTTTACTAGGCACTAAAATTCCTTCCAAATATATTAAGAGCGAAATAGTAAAGCAAATTATCAGATAAATCTAGGCTTGTGATTTATGATGGACAACTGAATGCAACGCAACACAACACATCCTGAGTAAAGTATTGTTGCTCCCTAGAATGGGGAAAATGGGAGTTGCTGGGCTTCAAGAAGACCACTATGCAAAGTTGGTTGGTCATCAACAGCTTTTGAAAAGATCTGAACAATTCCTGAAATGCTTACTGAAAAAAAAAATAGCAAATTGCTTCTATGTTGTTGCAAAAATAAAACATAAAACAGGAAGTCGCCAACAGCACAATTTAGAGGAGGCTGTATTGATCACTACTAATGAAATAATCAAGCAAAGTTCCTTATATTAAAAAAAATATATTATTTTGCAAATTTGGTAAGGTCAAAAACCTAGCAATCACTTCAACTTTAGCAAAGAGAAATACAAAATCATTTCAGAGTGCTGGGATTTTTCCTTTCTCTTTCTCTCTCTCTCTCTTAAAATATACTGTGGGCTGTGAGAAAGCCTGTGGAATTCTTTCCTTTCCTGGTAATTCTAGAGCCTGTTATCATAAAAGAGGCATTTTTTTGAATGACTGGTGGTAGGTAGTTCATTGTTTTTCAATCCAACTTGCAGTTGTATTTGTTGCTGTATAGTGATTGTTTTGCAAAATAAAATCGCTTGTCATCAACTTGCTTGCATCCCAGGTTTCTGTTTCTCCATTATATCCTCTGCTGTTCCACACTGCAATATTAGGATATTAACCTAAAGAAAGAAGTCTCCCATGTCTCCTCTTGGAAAGAATTATGAGCAATTTCTCTTTCCTAGGAAGTCACCCTGATAATAGCAATAGTGCTTCCCAGCCCTCTCTAAGCGGTTTACAGAGTCAGCACAATGCCCCCAACAATCTGGGTCCTCATTTTACCCACCTCGGAAGGATGG